CAACACGACCCCCCTATTTGACTGGCTGGAGCGGTGCGAGGAGTCTCTGCCGGAGGAGGGAAAGGAGCTGCTGCAGAGTGACCGGTGTGATCCCAAGGGTGTCAAATTGCAGCAGGGGCTGGCTATCGCGGTGCACGGCCAGCGTTACGCCGAGCAAGTGCAAGCCACATGCATCATGCCGCTGAACCCACTTAGCGGGCACACGCAGCGCATGCTCTCGCTCTCGGGGTATGGGGCGGGGGACTGGCTCAACGCCGTACCCTTCAACAAGTCGCTGCGCCTTGCCCCTGCCCACTTTGCTCACGCGCTGGAGTTTCGGATGGGGCTTCCCTCCTCGGCTCCTGGTGCCTGTGACTGCCGCGAGGAAGTGTTAATCCCGGATAGGCGGCTGCCCAACCATCTCCTGCGCTGTGACACGGGGAAGGGGAGGACTAATACTCATAATGAGCTACGCGATGAATGCTTGCGGATGGCCAGCGACGCGGATTTCATGACTCACAGTGAGACGACGGCATTCTGTCCCGTCACGCGAAAGAAGGCCGACATTGCTATCAGAGACAAGACCTCAGAGGCTGTGTGGATTGGGGACGTGACCATCACGGACCCCATTAGCACACGTGACCCCGACGCGGTCAAGGGCAGGGGATGGGCGGCCCGTGAGGCGGCAGAGAAAAGGATTTCCGATTACGAGGGCTCAACGACCTCGTGGGTCAGATTCTTCCCTCTGGCCGTCGACACTTACGGCTGCCCTTGCGCGGAAGTCCCCCAATTTCTCAAGCTGTTAGCTGACACTGCCGCCCGCAGGCACTTCAATGCGGCCCCCTCATCTTACCAGGCAACGAAGCTGCTACACCAGTTCCGCCAGCGGTGGTCCGTGGCGTTGCAGCGGGCTCAGTCCGTGGCCTTCATGACGAAGTGTAACTTCGCAGCTCAGGTGGAGAACCCACCAGTGGAGATGCCGGGCGATGGCATGTCCCTTGGGGACTGCCTGGCCATCCTAGAGCCGGTTCTGGAGCTCCCTTAGATGGAGCAAGGGTGTGAGTAGGATATAGAAGTGTTAGAGGCCTTTTTGCTCCTAGACTCTATATCCTTGGTGCATGTCTGTACTTGCTCGGAACTAATATACGGACCGCTTGAGAGAAAGAGAGAGGAGGAAGGACAGGCACAGATAGTAAATTCGGCAAAGAGGCACGACAAACAGGCACAGCACCAAAGGCACAAGCGGGCAGTAAAGAGCATAGGCGGACAGCAAAGGCATAGGTGGGCAGTGAAAGGCATAGAGGGGCATCAAAGGCACGGGCGGCAGGAATGGTAGTGACGGTAGCGGCGGCAGCTAAGGGCGGCACGAATTGCAGTTATGGCAAGTGCGGCATATAAGGGCAGTAGCAGTGGCAGTGACGACAATGGTGGCAATTGAGGGCAGCAGCACGTAAGGTATGAGAGGAGGAAGAGGAGGCTGATGCTGCAGCTGGGCTTACGCCACGCCCTCAACCTCCCCCCCACAGCAGTAGAAGCGACATTGAGAGAGACGAAGATGCCAAAGAGTGCTGCCGCACAATCACTCTCGCCACTTTTTTATCCTCCTTGTCCCCCCATCCGACAGGGGCAAGCGTTACAGGGAAAGAGAAGAGGAGGAGGGCGTTGATGGAATGGCGTAATGTGAACAGTGGCTTCATCTACCCTCGCCTTGCGGAGAGTCACTATACAACGAGAGTGGACTCCACAGGACGGCATGGGGTTATGCGAGTGATCGTAACTACTTGCTGGGTTCTCACTAGAAAATTGTGAAGAATGATAGATTACAATAAGGCATACAACTCGATATAGCTAGAATGGCGTTGCAAAACTTAGCAAACCCTCTGCAGGACGAACTTTGCCAGCGCAGCAGAAGAGTGGCTTGCCAACGCTGCAGCAGGGCGGCCTGCCAGCGTTGCATTACAGCGATTTGCCAGCACTGCAGACGCAGGTGAGCTTCTGCACATATGCGCACCTACCAAGTAGGTGCGAGTAGACGGTCGCGCCGCGAGGCACATCGCGCAGGTGTCAGGTAAAACACATGTTGACGGTTTCGCCAGCCGTGCACCGTCAAGCACGTGATGCCGTTCCGCATGTTGACTTGACGAACACCTTACGAGCGACATTCGCCCACATGTTGTAATTTGCAGTCGAGAAACTTCCGTCGACCAGCTCGACGATACTCTGTCGAACAGCTTCCGCAGAGATGAGCACGTCGAGCCAGTTGATCGGCACCTCTCTACGGGCTCATTGGCCAGCGTCCTCTGCCAGAGATATTGACCGCATCCCATCGAGCAAGATCTGCGATGAGCGAATAGGTGCGACAGCGAGGAGGGAACGACGTGGCCGCAGGCGGATGAGGCGAGGGAGGGGGGGGGGGGGGGGCATCGGAAAGCCAAAACGTGGCCGGCACTGTTGGAAGTGGACACTGGAATGGCCCGAAGTGGTCTCTCTAAGAGCTACGTGTGTCGTCCTTGGGGAGTATGTGTGCGCCGACCCACCAAGTAAACATGCCCTGTTATCACAATCGGTTAGCAAACAGGAGTGATACTTCTGTAGGTACAAGAATAGCGACAAGCATGCAACGGGTTGGACGAAGTGGCCGGGCCGTTCGCCTCGACGGGCGCACACGGTGCCGCGTGACAAATAATGTGAATGTATATTGGGGGTAGGCTGTAATGAGTTGCATCTTAGGGGTTATTCTTGAAACTCCTGACATTGTTCTTGTACACCCCTCTCCTTCACTAATGCCTACTTAGATTCTAAGACGGCGAAGCATGTCGCAACGGGAGTAATGAGAGTAGGAAATGTCAGAATGTTATGTTGTGTAGGCGTAGTGGGGTACTCAACAGTGAGTACAAACCTTTTAGGGTTTCCTATTTGTATCCCACATGCCTGCTAGTGCAACCTCTCTTCTTCTGTTATCATTCCTGCTTCTAGTTTTGTCATGCTAACAGAGCAGGTCGACCCTCCCTGGACGATCTTGTGGATGGGCCCACCCTACTGCTTCCGCTGCTATTCTGTTAGTCGCGTGCCCCGGGCGCGCGACATTTTTCAGCCCACCGCGCGCCCCGAGTGCGCGGCGGTTTGTTGCCCGCCGCGCGCCCCTGCTCGGCGCGCCGCCCCGTGGAGCCGCGCGCGGCCCCCGTGCACTCGGCGCGCTGCCCCGTGGAGCCGCGCGCGGCCCCTGTGCACCCGACGCGTCGCTCCGTGTGACCCGCGCGCCGCCCTGTGGAGTCGCGCGCTGCCCCCGTGCACCCGACGAGCCGCCCCCGGGGACCTGCGCGCCGCCCCGTGGGACCCGCGCGCCGCCCCAGTGGACCCGCGCGCCATCCCGCAGCCCCCGCGCGCGCTGCCCTGTGGCTCCCGCGCGCCGCCTTTGCCCTCGTGCGCCGCGGGGCATCTTCCTCCCCGCCCCCCCACTTTCTCCTTCCTCTCCCTCCTGCGCGTGCAGCTGTGGGGGAGGGCATTGGGGTGGCGGATATGGGGGTGACGGGAGTGCGTACGCAGCTGCTCCTCCTCCTCCTTTCTCTCCCACTGCTGCAGCTGCCGCTGAGGGGGGGATGGTGTGGGAGCTGAGGGAGTGGTGCTAGGGATACAGAGGGGGATGTGAAAAAGGGGTTTGGGGCAATGGGGGGAGGTTGAACGGAGGTAGCCGACTTGAAGCTAGCAGCGCCAGAAGTCCGGATGCCCTAGATCCGGTAGCATGTGAGCCCGTCGCTCCAGTCGCCTGTGGGTCAGTTGCTCCAGCCGCTCGTCTAGCCGCGGAGCCAGTTACTCCAGCAGTCCGGATCATACGGCGTGAGCCTAGAGATTTGGAACCATGTTAAAAGATTAAGTTAACTCAAGACTTGTAGGGTTTTGGACCGAGTAAGGCAGCCCAAATTCACATTATATGAGGTTAATAGACAAGAGTTGTACATTGCAGAATACAGTTTTAGCAACATCAATTAGAGCATCAGGGTGGTGGCTGCTCCAGCATCTTGTCGGGTTGTAGTTAGCTGAAACTCATACTGTACGTTGTTGTGTGTGTCAGTGCGAACCGCGATTTGGCAACGTGGCGCCATTTGCTGGTTCCTCTTCTCTTTGGTGCATTCACTCACCAGGGGTATGGTATGGTGTGTGGTGTTGTGTCTCCCGCCACAACGTTTCAACCGAATCGAACCGACCTAGGAGAGAAGACACTGCTGGTACCTGACATCAACGTCATCAACCCACCGCGCTGCGTTTCCCTCATCCATCAAATGTTTTTCTCTACCAACCAGTTGACAGGCTGTTGCCCATGGCACATTGCGGAAACTTTGCCAGAAAATCTTGAGTACCAGCACTAAGTGTACTGTACAATACTGAACCTTGAGATTCTCACAGGGCTGAAACAGCGTCGGAAGCTTTTATTGGAAGGAGAGGATGAACGATGTCCACATCCTGCGGAAAGGGACATTTCGAAAATTTCCATCCGAACCAGCCCATCACCTTCTTTTGTCTTCCCGTCCCATCCGTTCCATCAGTACGCTCAGGTGTCACGGATCGGGATGATAATCGTGTAGTACTGCAGTGGCTTATCATCACGATTATTATCAATAATCATGCCTACGTGTTTCCTGCTGGAATGAACTTCGGCTACGAGTTTACCATTCCATTGGGAGTTGAGTGAGCTCCAGACGAGTTCCTTATCCTGTTGGTGCGCGCACTAACAACCCCCATTTCCAGAAGCCGCGTTGTTGCTAGCTACCCTGAGCTCGCATTCTTCGCGTTCACCTTCACCTGTCATGGAAACTCGAAAGCCGTCGATCACGCAAATGTCGGAAGCCAGACGCGCGCGCCTCTCAAGACCGTCACTAAACAAGACGATTGAACCGCGCTCCGGAGTCCTTCAAAGACGCAGTTTATCCCATTCATTCGGACCCCGCGTGTCGTGTCCAGCCATGGCTGCGCTCCTCGTTGTCTCCCTGACAGTTCTCAGCCATCTCACGGCCGTCAGCGCAATGGTTCGTCGTTTCCTCGTCGCCCGAAATGTCCCCTCACGTGCAAGTCGTTCCCTTGCTCGTTTATCGTCCCCGCCTTGCGCAATGCCGAACCCTTCCCTGTGGAATACGTTGCGCGTCCGCTATTCCGTAGTAGGAAGCGAGCAGGCTGTAAGAGCAGGGGATGCGAGTGGTGAGATTAATAATAAGGCCGCATCTGTGACTGCATTGACGGTAAGAACAGGTGAGAGCTGATTTGTTCACGGGAGGGCTGTTGGACAGGGCGATTAAAATCACGGCGGATTGCTAGCGTCACTTCTAAAAATTATCAAAAGTGACGCCAATAGACACACATGCTGCTCTCTCATCCCATGCCCTCTCATTTGTCCTTGCGTTGCATTATCTCCAATTTCTTTCTGTAAAATCTTCTTCTTTCGTACTTCATCCCATTCTCCTTGGCCGCCATTGTTGGGGCGTGTCTGTCCGCCGGGCTGTGCAGGGCATTGGAGGGGGTTTCGGGGCCAGCAAGAAGAAGCCACTACAGGGCTCCGTAAGCACTTCTCTTCTTAACCCCCGTCTCTCACGCGCGCGACGCCATTGCGATCTTTTCTGAGGCGATTTAGTAAGCGCCTCGATGCGCCGATGCTTCTACGCCGCGCTGTCGCGCCTCGCTGTGCCGTGCCGAGCCGCGCCATAAAAGTCGTGCAACGCTATGTCGCTTTGCGCGTTTCCTCTCCCGTGCGCGCCTGTGTGGAGAAAGTCCGATTGTTCATTCCTCCCACTGCTCGTCCCTCTCCGCACGCACGTCTCCTACTCCCCTCGGCTACTTTTCTGACAACTTTTAAGACGACGTTACTTTCCCATTCCCTTCCCCCTTTTTCCCATTTCCCCGTTCCCTTTTCACCACGCCGCCCGTTCCCGCCCCCCATCGGCGGCCTCCCCCTACCCTTCCGCCCCGCTCCCCCTCCGCGCGCGCGTTCAGCCGGCGGCGTTCCCCGCGTACGGCGACCGCGACGCGACGCTCGTGCTGCACGGGCCAATGGAGTCGTTCAATACGCCAGTCAACGTCGCAATCTACAACCCCACATCCAAGACTCTTAAATACGCTCAAAGGACATTCACGTGAGATCCTTGCGGCCTCTCTTCCTCTTCTCCTCTTCCTCTCCCTCCTCCTCTCCCTCCTCCTCTCCCTCCTCCCCCCGCCCCGGCTTCCCTCCCTCCCGACCGTTTTCTCTCCATCCCTCGCTTTCCACTTTCTGCACCCATTTCCACCCTCCTTCCCGCCTTCTGCATTGCGTGTGATGTACGAGCCTCCTCAAAAAAGTCGTCTGCGCGCCGTCGCCCCGCGCACCTCCCTTTCCCTTCTTCTTCTCCCTTCTTCCCCACCATTCTTTACCTCCACCCCCCCTTTCCCCGCTCCCGACCCTCATTCCGCCACTACATCCCTTCCCCGCGCCCCCGCCACCCCTCCCTTCCCCTATCTGCCCAGCGCACGTGTACTAAGTGTGCTTCCTGGAGCAGGCGAACAACTTCTGAGACGTCTCAAAAGTTCCCTCCCCGTACCCCCACCACCCCCCCCCTCCCCTCCCCTCCCCTCCCCTCCCCTCCCCTCCCCTCCCCTCCCCTGCAGAGCGCATGTGTACTACGTGCCGCTGAGAATGGGGTCGCAGCAGCAGCGCTTCCGGGCGCAGGTGGACCTGCTCTTCAGCGCGCTCTGGGTGCCCTGTGACTGCATCTCCTGCGCCAAGGGCCTCCAGGAGGTAGGTGTGGGGGTGGGGGGGGGGGGGGGGGGGGGGGGCGGCTGTGTTCGCGCGCACGGGAGCAGAGGGGGAGATGGGAGCAAGGCGGGGAGGCGAGGGACAGTCGCGCCGCGCACCACATTCTCCTAACCATCCACATTCTCCTTTCGCTCTCTTCCAGACAGCCCTTTGTATGGATGCGGGATTTCTTTGCTGAACAATCAACCATGGCTCATGCCTACCTAACTCTCCCTCTCATTCCTTATCCTTTCCCTCCCCTCCCACCCCAACCTCTACCCCCACCGCAACCTCAACCCCCCACCCAACCTCTTCCTCCCATCTCCCATCTCCCCCGCACCTTGTCTTGTCCTCCTGTGTGCCTGCCAGGTGCCGAAAGACACACCCTTTGACACCCTCTCCTCCTACTCCGTCCAATACCTCTCCTGCTCCGACCCCCGCTGCGTCTCCGTGGGTCTCTCGGAGTTCAATCCACCCTTGGTGGGGTGCAACGACCCTGGCAAAGCGAACCCGTATGTGAACACGACCTTGATTCCGGGCAACGACCCGCTCTGCGTGTACACGACGCCGCTGGGAGCCAACGGCTACGACCTCTTTAATTCTGACAACACTACTGTTCTCTACGCCAATGGAAGTGATCCCGCCATCGGCCCTCTGAATTCCGTTGGTCACGTGATTTCTGATTCGCTCTTCTTTCCAGAAGACATGGCTACAGCAGCCGCGGCTGCAGCGTCAGACGCAGCAGCGAAAGCAGCGGCAGAGGCAGAGGCAGAAGCGAAAGCAGTGGAAGAAGCATACATAGTGGCGGCAGCATTCGGTGTGGCTCCTGCTGCGGCTCCTTCCTCTGCTGCTGCTCCTGCTTCATCTGCAGCACCTGCAGCACCGCCGCTTCCCCCTCTTTCCAACCGCACCATCTTCTTTGGATGCGGCTCCGCACAATCTGGGTGGTGGGGACAGCAGGACTCATGGGTTCCCAACGGCGTGGTTGGCCTCGGCCCGTTCAGCCCCCTTTTGAAGCAGCTCGCAAATGCATCCATGACGTTTGCCATGTGTCTGGAGAGGCCGAGGTCACGGTTGGAGAATGTGACGCGGTGGAATCAGGCGAAGCTATCGTTACAGGTGGAGCCTTTGGAGAAGTTTGACGGGGGGAGCCACCTCATGGTGGGACCTGTGGACCTCCCTGCCGACGCCAGCCGCACCGAGATCGTTTATTTTGAGTAAGCGCGCTGCTGTTTGCAGATGTGAATCGTTGGTTGTGGACCGTTGGTTGTGTTGTGGACCGTTGGTTGTGTTGTGGACCGTTGGTTGTGTTGTTGACCATTGGTTGTGGATCGTTGGTTGTGGATCGTTGGTTGCGGATCGTTGGTTGTGCTGTGGACCATTGGGTGGTGACTGTTGATGGTTGATTGTGGAGTGTGGACCCGGCAGGTTTTCTGATCCCTATGCCTTTCATCCCTCCACCTCTCATCTCCATTACTCTCTCGTTCTCCCCCACCCTCCCCTTCTCTCACTCTCTCCCTTCCTCTCCCTCCCATCGCCCAGTGGCTTGTACGTTCCAGTCATTATCAACACGAGTTACAGCATGGGGAACAAGGTCCTAGAGAAGCATGCAAAGGCAAACACGGAACCGAATGTGATTGCCTTCTCGTCCACCATCTTCACGCACTTTCTCAGGGCGCAGCTCGTGCAAGCCATCCTTGCCGAGGTAAGCACCACCATTGCGGCCGGCTGGGTTGGCTTTTGAGTCGACTCAAAAGTCAACTTCCTGAGGGCGCAGCTCGTGCAAGCCATCCTTGCCGAGGTAACCACAACCATTTTCACTTTTTATATGTCTCAAAAGTCGTCTACTTACACGCGGTTTTCACTTTCTGAGGGCGCAGCTTGTGCAAGCCATCCTTGCCGGGTAAGCACCACCATTGCGGCCGGCCGGGTTGACTTTTGAGGCACCACCACGTGGTATGGTCTGAATGGTGTGTTCCTTGCTGATTTGTTCTCTGTTTCCCTCTTCTTCATGTTGGGTGCATGGTGCATGGCACGTCGTGCATGGTGCATGGTGCATGGCACATGGTGCATGGTGCATGGCATGTGGTGCATGGCACGCGGTGCATTGTCCCACTGCAGCTTGGATTTCCCAAGGCATTTGATGACATGAATGTGGACAACACCACCCTTGCCTGCTTCCGGTAAAGTACCGCATCCTGAACCCTGCCTCTGCATCGTTCCGCATCAGCTCAGTTGAATTCCATGCCATCCATTTTTCTAGGGCAGCTGCTTCGAGTAACGCACATCTGCTATTCTGCCCTGCAGACACATATGTCTCCTCACATCGCCCACATCCCTCTTCCGGCTGCTCTCTTTTCCACCGGAACCACCACTCACGTGTGCCTGTGCTGCCTGTGGTGCGTGCTCATTGTTGCAGGAGTGACAAGGATCCATTCACGACCTTCCCCAGCATTCGCATTGGTTTCGTGGAGGGTTCTGAGTTTGTCGTTCCTCCTTCCAGCTACGTTGCCCAAGTACGTGCTGCGTTGCAGCAACCATAGAAGCAACCATAGCAGCAGCCGTAGCAGCAGCCGTAGCAGGGTGTGTGCGTGCGCCTGACTTGCGTGAAATTCTTTCCTCGTTGTAAAGTTTGGTTCTGGGGTGTGGCCTGCTGCTGCTGCCCTGCCCGTTACCTCTGTGTGGGGTAGCTTTGGTTCTCGTCTCATCCGATCAGAGTCTCATCCTATCAGAGTCTCATCCTTTCAGAGTCTCGTCCTATCAGAGTATCATCCTTTCAGAGTCTCATCCTATCAGAGTCTCATCCTATCAGAGTCTCATCCTTTCAGAGTCTCATCCTATCAGAGTCTCATCCTTTCAGAGTCTCGTCCTATCAGAGTCTCGCCGTGTCAAGCGATCTTTGTTGGCCTCTTGAGAGGGATGGCACGGCACGGCATGGAATGGCTTGGCATGGCATGGCATGGCATGGCATGGCATGGCATGGCATGGCATGGCTCGAGTCAGCACTGCACATGGGATTGGTTGCCTGCACTGCATATGAACTTCCTATTGCTCAGGAGCTTGTTTCTCACCCCTGCTCTCCACTCCATTTCCCCGCATGCCAGGTGGGCAACAAGGAGTACTGCTTCCTGTGTCATGTCGGAGATATTGACATATGGGCAGGTAACCCCGCCTTCCATCCACCCTCCTGCCCCGTTCTCTTGTCAACTCAATGTGGTTGGCGCACATCTGGACCCGTGGCCTCGCGGTCCATTCCCCTGCCCCTTGAGCCTACATGTGCTGTTCACGGTGTATAGACATGACAAGAATCTTCCACATCCTCGTGCTGCCCCATGCTCCTCGTGTTACCCCATGCTCCTCGTGTTACCCCATGCTCCTCGTGTTACCCCTTGCTCCTCGTGTTACCCCATGCTCCTCGTGTTACCCCTTGCTCCTCGTGTTACCCCTTGCTCCTCGAGTTGCTGAAAACCCTATCATGCCGTCTCTCACTCCCTCTCTTCTCCCATTCACTCACAAAGGTTTCTGGTTTGGGGTTCAGGACATGCCCTTCCCTGTGCTCGTAACAGATGCTTTAAGCCCATGCCCCCTTCCCTGTGCGCGTGCCCTTGCCTGTGCCCATGCCATGTCACGCAATGCAACGCCATCAGCGCCGGCGCTGTACGACAAGCAGATTTACGTCAACTACGCCAACAAGACCTTCGCTTGGATCGACTCCCCACAATGTGAGCCAGCCGCCTGTTCTTCCCTGCTGTGCATGCACGCAACGCTCCAGTCTTGCACAGAACCGTCTCTCCCTCCCCACCATCCACTCATCTGCCCATCCCTCCCCACCCCATCCACTCATCTGCCCATCCCTCCCCACCCCATCCACTCATCTGCCCATCCCTCCCCACCCCATCCACTCATCTGCCCCTCTCTGCCATCCCCTCCTTCTCCCTTTCCCTTCCCCTGCTTGTCCCCGCCCATCATGCATCCCCTACCACCATCTCTCTGCTCTCCTTATGAGTCGACTCAAAACTGCTTCTGAGTCGACTCAAAAGCTGCTTTTGCTTTTCAGTCGGCTCAAAAGCTTTCCCTTCTCCTGCTTGTCCCCACCCATCATGCATCTCCTACAACCATCTCTCTGCTCTCTCTCTGCGGCGAATCACTCGCGCCTCCCATGCTGCAGGTTCCATTCTGAGGCGCCTCAATATTCTCCCTTTCCCCCTGCTTGTCCCCACCCATCATGCATCCCCTACCACCATTTCTCTGCTCTCTCTCTCTCTGCGGTGAATCACTCGCGCCTCCCATGCTGCAGGTTCAAAGAACCTCTCGTTTGTCCCGCCGCCGCCCTCACCTCCTCCTGCTGCTCCTGCTGCGCCCAAGCCTGCTGCCAGACTGGCTCCTCTGCCGTCTCTATCCTGGCACCTGGTGACAACGACAGGGTCTCTCCTGCTGCTGCTGCTACTGCCGCTGCTGCTAGTCTGAAGCAGCCCCTTTCTGCTAATTATTTTCTGTGGGTAGATCTGCTGCTGCTGCTGCTGCTGCTGCTGCTGCTGCTGGTTCTGAGATGCAGGAGTGCAGCAGGTAGGGAGTGTAGTGTGGGTGGTGGTAGAGGAACGAGCACCTGTCATGACATAACCTGGTGGCATGAAATGAAATGACACGACAATGATGGCATGGCAAAGCATGAATAATGATAGTACCGGTACCGTTACACCGTAGCATGTGGCCTTCTTCCTCTGGTTATAATATTTCTCCGAATAATCTCTCCCTCTCCTTATGCATTCTCTCATTATTATCACTTTCAATGCAACCCCGCACTCTGTATGTCTATGCCCCGCGGCTCTGCTGTTCATAAACTAGGACGCAGTGGGAGTGGATACAGGACGGTGAGGGTAGGGAAGAACCTAAGTAAAGGACCTGGGTTATGATTTTTCTTGGCATGCCACGGCACTGAGGGGATCACCTCACCACCTCTAGCTGCAGTTTATCATACTGCCATCACCAACATAACCCTCCAGCAAAGTTCCGTAAAGTGCCACCTATAGGACCCGCCGGTAAGAGGGTCCCCGGGACTCTTGAATGGGTAGGGGGACTCTTATTGTGGCAGGTTTTGTGAGGACCCCCCCTTTGTAGCTAATCATTATAAGACCCCCCCTTCCATGTAAGGCCCTGTTTATTTTGGTGCAGTTATCATTGTTACTGTAATAACCTACTACACATATCTCAACATCTAGTGGTCACTACATCTACGACCTGGTCGAGTTGGATTCCATCAGGCACTCTAGTTAGGAACCAGTCAACCCCCACCTCCCCTCCCCCCTACTCCTCACTGCGCGTCCGCGGCCTCCTCAAGCCCACCCTCCGCCTCCTCCTCCTCCTCTTCCTCCTCCTCCGCCTCCTCCTCCTCCTCCTCCTCCTCCTCCTCCTCCTCCTCCTCCTCCTCCTCCTCCTCCTCCTCCTCCTCCTGCAGGTCCCCGGCATCCTCTGCATCCGCCGCCTTTGCCGCCTCCTCATCCTCCGCGGCTGTGGCGAACAGCGGGTTCACCCACTCCTCCACCTCAGGGGCGACGTGCACGTCCTGTGCCACCTCGACCTCGCCCGCGTCGCGCATGTGGGCAAGGACGAGGTGGTCCTGCTTCCCATCGACCGAGTTGCTGATGCCCGTCGTGAGAAACGCCTTCTCAATAATGTGCTCGGGGACAGCCGCCCAAGCACTCGCAATCCACTTGAGGACCGTCTCTGCTGGCGGCTTCTTCAGGTTGCCTGCCATGTAAACGGTGATGAACAGGCACGGCGCGCACATGGGAGTTACGGTATCTTACAAACAAGTAGCTACGAACAAGTCAGAAGGCGAGGAAATTAGAAAGCCACCAAAACTCACCGGCTTTCGTGAACGTGTTGATGCCAAACTCGGCGAACCAGTCGTTGTAGAGCTGACGGAGCAGTGCCTTGAATGAGCGATTAACGCTCACATCAAGGGGCTGCAGCAGTGGGGTGCAGCCCCCGGGAATGATGGCCGGGATTACCCGGTTCCACTTCATGTTGGTGAGAACGCCATCGGTGAGGTGGCCCCGGTACGAGTCCACGACGAGAAGCGTCTTGGACCACCGGATTCCGCGCGGAGGCTTGATGAACGGCAGGAGAACATTGTTTACCCAGTCGTCCACGAGCTTAGCGTCCATCCAGCCTTTCGCCTGCGCACGGACAACGACTCCTGCAAGGGAAACAGCGCACGTGGTTAGAAGTTTGCCACGCATAGAAACTCCCGTGCTGGTTACAACTCTTACAACGCACCTGCCGGGACCCGAATTTTCGGGATCGTTTTTCGCTTGAAGATAACCATGGCGGGGAGCTTGCGCCCGTCCGCGGTGATCCCGAGCATGACAGTCACCCTGTCCTTCTCATAGCCCGCGCTCCTGACGTGCACCGTCTTCTCTCCGCGATGATGCAGGGTACGCTCGTGCGGCATCTCCAGGAAAACGGGCGTCTGGTCGGCGTTGATAATGTTCCATGTGTCGATGCTATGCTTGATGATGTTCCGCCTCGTGAACGCCCAGAATTGCTCACACTTCGGCTTGCAGTCTGCCATGGACGACCACAAGGCGGGAGAAAGACATTAGTGATGGTGGTGTGTTAAGCATGAGTGTAACATGTCGCTGTGCAAACGATAGAAACACACACATGTACGGAAGCGCAAGCATACCACTCACCCGCTGCCATACGCTGACCCATCTTCGTTTTGACGCGGATAGCGAGGCCCTAACGCTGGCGGAAGCGGAACGTCCACCTGTTGGACGCCATCCACCTCACATCAGGGTAGCACCGGCTCCAGTGCTTGATGAGACGAATAGGCACGGCCAAGCCACGTCCGCGGAAGTTCAGGAGCCGCTTGTAGGTGTGCGCCTCCATGTCGGGATATTTCGCCTTTCTTCCTCCACCACTCAGTCGGTGCCTGGACCGTGCTGCCTTCTTAATCCGATCCGCCGCCCTTATCCACCGGCGGACGCTGACAGGCTGCACCCCGGCAAGTCGTGCAGTGGCGCGGACGGAGAGCTTCTCCTCCTCCATCCGCACGAGCCATTCCTGCTTCTCACCCATGGTTCGCGCCGTGCGACGGTGATTATTCTTGCGGGCGGGTCGAGCTTCTGGAGCACCGTCAACCTTGGAGCGAGGCCCGCTCTCGTTGTGGATCAACTCATCCGGGAACGTCGGGATCGGGAAATCCCTGACGTCGTCTTCCATGTTCTCGTTCTCGGCGTCCTCGGCGACGGGTTCGGGAAACCCCTCCTCCTCGAGCGGGTCCAACGGAGGTGTGGTGCGCCAGTCGACGAAGCCCGGGGGAAGCACAGGAGGCGCAGGTGGCGCCGGAGGCGCAGGGGGTGCCGGAGGTGCGGGAGGTGCTGGAGGAGCTGGCGGGGCCGGGCTAGTAATCAGTATGATTGCGGGCTGACCAGACCCACTGCCCACAGGAGAACGGCGAGAACGCCATGGCCTTTCGAAAGCTGACATGGCGAGGAGCTGATACAGTTCTAAGAACTTCTGGTACTCTAAGTGGCAGGCGCCATGGCGGGCTATTTAGATGGGAAGGAAGCTAGCGGTCCAGGCAAGATCTTAAACAGGGAAAGGGAGGGGATGAAAGCTTGCGTGCTCGGCAGAGTGTGGGACGTGAAACCCTAGTGCTTCACGTCCAGTGCCCATTCTGCCACAGAGGCAGGATGGGGTGGTCAGGGGCCACCTGGCGTGCCCATCTTGACGGGAAACAACGTCAAGATGATGTGCGGTGCGGGGCAAACACCGTTCAGTCCGCCCTCGTGCTCTGATTCTCGCCGCGTGTCATTCCCGATGACGCGCACATTGTGCACCAAGCGAAAGATTCTGGCGCGGAAAATATAAGACCCCCCCCCCCCCCTTGTAACGAGCTTGTACATGGTAAATCTAATAAAGTTATCAGATAAATAAGTGTACCCGGGGTCTTAAAAATTTGCAACCGCCATAATGTCCACCCTAGCATTTTTTTGAGCATTTGTAGAGAGTCCCCCGGGTCCTATAGGTGGCACTTTACGGTTCTTCTGGACCTGCCTGCTCATTCCCATGGGAGCCTCACATTGATCCTATTTTACAAACAAACAGCGTTCCGCTCCGCTGGCCCCGGAGGAGACAGCAGCGAAGCGAATATCACTTCTCGGCATATAATACGGTACAGCTCAAGATACACTTTGAACCTAAATGCTGGCACTCACAAGAGGCCACACGAATTTTCGAGGCGCCTCAAAAAGCGAAAGCGAATATCACTTCTCGGGATATAACACGGTACAGCTCAAAAACACTTTGAACCTGAAAGCTGGCACTCACAAGAGGCCACACGAATGGGAAGGAAGCTCCCGCAAGCAGGCTGGCAAGCAACACAGGGCATGCGATGCGAGAGTGTGTGCTTTGCTTGGAATGCAAAACTCAGGCCCAAGCCGCTCCTGGGAGGGAAGTCTGGCTCTACAGGAAACTGAGAGCAAGGAGAGCGGCGGAGGTGGCAGCTGAGAGTGCTGCGGGCACGGGTAAGAGAGGGCGAGTGGCCGCCTTGGAAACAGGAGAGGGTGGTGATGGTGGAGGGGAGGGCGGCGGCAGCAGAGGCTCAGCTCCACCTGTTGGGATGAGGGGGGAGAGCAAGGAGAGGAAAGGAGAGGAGAAGATGTAGCAGTGGCAGGCATTGGGATAGAGAGCATGGCCTATACAGACTACTGTGTGTGATCACTCAATCAGGCATTGGCAGATTACTGTGTTTGATGCTATCGTGTCGACAGAAATGCTTGGTGTGTCTGTCCTGGGAACGAAATCTCTTCTGAAAGTGTGGATACGGCCTCCTTGAAAGGCTCGAGCGGCAGGAGTAACAGGTGGAGGAGGTAGGCTGGCCAAAGAGCAAACGGTGTTGAGAAATGGAAGGGGGCGCAGGTGGAAGACTCAAGGTATGAAGGGCAGGTATGCATGCTGGGGAGATGAGCAGCAGCATGGGCTGCCGGCAGGCGTTGTGGGCAGGGTGAGCAGCAGCTTACAGGTAGGAGCTTCAATCCAGCCGGCAGTCTTGTTGGTGTAGTCAAGGAAGAGGTACTTTCCCAGCAGCCCCGGCTCTGATTGTTGGGAAAGAAAGGGGAGAAGTGAAGAGAGGTGGCACTTGGGTGCATCCGTGGGTTGACAATTACAGTGATAGAGCATGGCCATGGTGGTGCAAGGCCATGGTGGTGCAAGGCCATGGTGGTTCAAGGCCATGGTGGTGCAAGGCCATGGTGGTGCAAGGCCATGGTGGTTCAAGGCCATGGTGGTGCAAGGCCATGGTGGTGCAAGGCCATGGTGGTGCATGATGACATTGACGCAGGGATGGCAGTGGTGCATGATTGTAAGGAGTAAGGGCTGGTCTGATGGACCATGTGGCATCTCGTAGGAAGCAAAGCACAGTAAGCGGAGCGACAAGAGGGGTGAACGCAAGGGGAGTT